ACCGGGGAGGAATCACTACGCCGGTGGACCCGATTGAATCTCGCGGAGATATCACTTCTCTCGGTATAGTCTGCGGTCCTCTGGTTCCATCTGTCGCTTCTTGATGGGGTTTCGTAAGGCATGAAAGCGCTTGCAGGAGTTGGGTGTACATCAGGTACGCTATAGGAGGGGATGGATTCGCCTTGAGAAGTGTATACTGCCTGCGAAACCGGAGTCACTGGCTGTGGCTGCTGCAGGGGAATAGGTCCTGGCCTGACCAATGTCGGCTGGGAAGGGGGTTGAGATGAGGCCTTGATGGTGTCGAAATGTGAAGGGTCACTGGTGGGGACAGGAACCACGTGTTGAAGACTTCCAGTACTACTTGCAGCATCGTGACTGGATACCTTAGATTCCCGGTGGTATGCTGATGCTAAGGCGGCCGTTCCGAGACCAGCTGCGACCGCAGCCTCTGTGGGGAAGCGGTTCTCCGACGAGCGAGACCTTCTCTTCTTCTGCTTCTTCTTGGACTTCTTGCTTCCCCAATTCCAAGGCCATCTCGACGTTCCGGAATCAGAAGAGTGAGAGTCAGTGCTGGGGAAATGACCACTTTCGCCGAATGCGAGGCCGGAAGTAACACTTGAGGAGGACTGGTCACCCGAGTCAAGATCTTCCCAGCCCTCATCGTTAGCAGCAGACGACTCGTAATCAGACCGACCGGATCGGGACTCTTTGCCGACAAGTATCTCCCCAGTGCGCCGATTCTTGCGATGGGATGAGGCGGCCAGTGCAGTGGCGGCTGCGCCTAGACCCAGTAAGGCAGCATCCACATCTGTATCCGCTTTCTTCTTGCTTCGCCTGTTAGACTTACCTGACTGGCGCTTCGTGTATCCAGACCCAAAGGCCAGATCTGCATCGAGTGATGATGACGAAGAATTGTTATTGCTGAAAGAGAAGATGCTCTTGCGCCTCTTGGTCCGACGCTTGCGGCGGTTCTCTGACGATGCAGTGAAAAACGAACTGAAGCCACTACCGACAGTCTTGCGAGCGGGTCTTGAAATATCCACAAAAGATTCATCAGAAGAAGATGTCTTTCTAGGTTTCCTTCCTCTCGAAGATGTACTGCGGCTCCTGCTTCTGTGACGGGATTCGTATTCTGACACAGCCGCTGTTCCAACTGCCACGCCCAGGGCCGCATTCCTCAGGGCAGCATGTCGCTGACTTCTAGATGATGAGCGGGAGCGAGACCGAGAACGAAGTCGAGATCCTTCATATCTGCTGAGTTTCGAGTCCGAATGATAGGAGCTGTGGTCGGTATGTTCCCGCGATCGGCTTCGATGGGACCGTCTGTAGACTCCGCGTGAGGTCTGGCTTCGTCGACCGGCTGTGGAGGCGCCTTCACTTTCGTGGATCGAATGCCGAGAGCTCGCCACCTCACCCGTTCGAATGCTGTAAGACTCGTCGAACTCCTTACTACTGAAGATAGATTTGACCGCATATCCACCAAGTAGCCCGGGCAACCACGAGTTTCTCGACGACCTGTTGCGACGCCTTCCTTCGTCCTCTGACGAGGAGTAGCGGCTTGCTTTATCAACACGTGATCCATTACTGTACCTATCAGCAGAGCGGCGGCGAGGTTTGTGGTTGTGCTTGCGAGGTGCGTCTTGAGACGTCGTGCCTGGCTCAAAGCAGTATTTGCAGACCCCGATAGATTCCGTATAATCCTCGAACATGCCGACACCTTCTGGGTCCTTCCAAAAGTTGATAAATTTGTCCAAGGGACCTTGTTGACGTTGTTGAAAGGCCAAACCTCCGGATTGGAAAGGAGCACCGTGGTATACTGCAGCATGATCGGGATGTAGCGGACTCGCCGCGTACCCGGCCGCCGCCGCCGCTGCCGCAGGTCCTGCAGCAAAAGGAGGCATATTCTGCTGAGGGGGGAATGCCGGAGTCTCCGGGTAGGCCGGGAGTACCTCTTCGTAGTTTTGCATGGTGTACTGAGAAGAATGGTCAACACTTGCAGACTGATGGTGGTGGCTCATCATATAACCGGCCGCTGCACCAGCGGCGGCTGCGCCAACTGCAGCACCCGCTCCATGAGAATGAGAGGGCTTCGGAGGGCTCGATGCGGTAGGTGGCACATAGTTTGCAGGGGATTCCGAGATAGTGTGCCCTGGGGAATCCATAACCTCAGCTCCTGATATTGTCGTTGCAGTGGCGACGGCAGGTGGGCTTGAGATTCCAGCCGTCTGTACAGAGGGTCTTGGTGGTCTTGATGGTTTTGGTGGTTTCGGCGCAGAAGCAGAAGGTGGTTCAACGGGCTGTTCCATTCCCAACTCAGCGTCATCCATAAAGTAGGCCGCTGCAGCGCCGACCTGGCCCATGCTACTTGGCTCTGGCGGCGGGTTTGCGGTGGGCGATGCGGTCATCAGATGCGCTTGGTCGCTGGGGGCTACCAACGGAGGTTTAGGTCGGACGCCAGGCTGGTCTTGGACGGACTGCCCCTGATCGCCGTAGTAATCGGCTGCTTCTCCTGCAGGGTTTGGCGGTTGGTAAGGCTCAGCAACGTATGCCGGGAATTGGCCAGGAAACTGCTGTGTTACATGAGGATCGTAGAATGCGGTTGCATGCGGCGGGCTGGGTATTGAAGTGGTTGGCATTGCCTCAGTAATTGGAGGGTACGTATGAGGACTCGCGGCGAAGTCGCCAGGAGAAGGAGGCATGCCCGTAGTTACTGGGGATGCATACATATCGCCTGACTGAGTTCGTTGTCGTTCACGCCGATCGCCATCACGCTCACGCTCGCGACTCGGCGATCGCGCTCGCTCGCGCCTGCGGGAGCTTGTCCCTTCTCCATCTCCATTGTCTCGGTATCGATCTCGACGGTCGGTGGTGTCGTTTGAATCTTGACGCCGGGGTGCGCGTTCGATCATGACCCGGTCGGGTTCGATGGGGGTGCCCTGGTCTGCTGTCGCATAGCTCGAGGCTACCGACTCGCCTGCCACACTTGGAGCATAGCGCTTACTCCGACTGCTGGAGGATCGGTAGTTGGACAGATCGCCCAAGCCACGATCACGGTCGTCACCCCGTGAGGACTTGCGGCTTACTGTGGAAGATTTCGAGTCGGTTCTGCGACGGCTGCTGCTCTTGGAGCTTGAGGAGCTGCGGACATCAGAAGACGAGCGACCCCCGCCCAAAAGGGCTTTGAACATGGTGGGCAGAGAGCGATCAAAGCTCTAGCGACTCAGGCAACCATGTGGAATAGAGGGTAGACGCGGTCGCCTAATTGAGTAATCGAACCAAAAAGGAATTGATTGAGAGGGAAAGAAGGGTAAAAGGAATTGAAAAATTAGAAAAAGAAATCGTAACAATCGTAACAGGGTCGTTAGATGAGAAAGGAGAGACCGTATTAGCGAGGCGAAGATTAGGGGAGGGTGGAAGGGAAAGTTAGGTGGTGATGGGGATTGAAGATGAGAAAGAAAGAGGCGGGCGGGTATAGATCGGCGGCGTTGTTTTTGCGACGGGCGGAGGAAAGTAAACAAGTGAACCGTGGTTCTTTTTTTTCTCGGGAAGTCGGAGGGTCCCCCAAGCTGAAGCGGAGACCAAAAGGTAGAGAACCACGGTCAGCCTTCAACACAAAAGTAGCAGCAGCAGAAGAAAAGAGGCGGGCTGGCAAGCGCTCGGTTGCTCCAGACAATCAGCCACTAACAGCTTTAGCGTGATGGACCAAGATGGGGCAACGAGAGAGAGTCCGTGTGTTTCGGGATGGTTTAATAAATTAATCAAGTATGAGACCATGGAAAAAAACCCGAAAAAGAATGATATAAAATTGCATGAGATGAGATGAGATGCGATGACGATGACGATGATGATGATGAGAAAATCTTCTTTAGACTTGCGAATCTGTGACGTGCTAAACAACCAGGAATGTGGGGTATGTTTTTCGATCGATCAGATGCGGGCGGATAGTTTGATGGTTGAAGCATTCATCGGATCTCAAAAGGGAAGATGGAGAAGAATGTAAATGTGAGAAAGTACTACTTACAGTACAAGCAGTTAGTTAGTTGGGGGTCATGGCACACTCAAGCCGCTTCTCTCGATCTTCCATTACCTGCGAGGGATTAAGCGGAAATGCGAGGGAATCGGAAGGAAATTGAAGAAAACTCGCGGTGAGGCTGGGGAGGGTGGCCGGGGAGTCCCGGGCACGTGCTGGGAGGAGGCCCCATCAAAGAGGCTGGCTGGACCACGATTCATTCCTTCCTTCATTCTACCCTTCATGGACTGGACTGGCTCTCTTACACTTTCTTGCTGGGATCCCTCCTTCTTACTAGTCCCAACTTTCCCTCCCCCAAATCGCCCGATTGGTAACCACTTCAGTAGCTGCCACTTAAGCTCCTTCAAAGCTGATACGTCATATCGTCCCCATTCCCAGAGCTGAGCTGACTTCCATTACGCACTCACGCTTACTGAGCCCTGAGTAGTACCCTTCTAACACTGAAGAGCCCATATGTACATCCCTCATGCATACAAGTAGTTCACTTCATACTCTCAGCGGAAATAGAAAACATGCTCACCGAACAAGAAAAATTAACCTCCTATTCTTAATCCCGATTGATACAGATTAGTTTATCTGGCAGCAGGTACTCTACTTACTACATACGTCCAACATCTGCATGCACGACATACCTCTCTAGCCATGGCCGTGCAGATTCCTTCCGACTGAAACACTGAACAACAACGACACTACTAGACCCATAATATCCACGTTTCATGAAAGAAGAAAAGACTCATAAAGATGTGTATACGCATCCACTCAATTAATTATATCCATTTTCCCACATCCCTACAACCAACTTACGCTCGAAGATGGCGCGTCTAGCGATCATTACTTAGACACATTGGATACTAGCGGGCTAGTTAGCTAGATCATCAGCCAAGTGCATCAGTTCTACCAAGTAAGCTGTAACTCGACCACCTCAACAACAGACCCCGAAACACCTCAAGAAACTCCATTTCAACATTTACTGGCAAAAGGGGGAAAAATAGCAGAGTATCTACTTAGTCTGAATACTGCATGTTTGGGGTTGTCACGCATCTTAAATGAAAGCCCGAGGATGGGCCGCTCACCCACTCCCTTCCAATGAGTGCGTGACATGCAGCATTAGCTGGGACCATGACAACTGGCAGGGCAAATCGATTAGCTGCATGCCATGCCAGAGACAGAAAAGGAGCCCACGGTGGTGCATATGAGCTATTCACGTTAGCAGCCGAGCGATGATCTGGGCGAATCAAACATTTCCCAATCGGGATGCCAGCGCATTTGGATGCTCTGGCCGAGCACCACTCATGGCGGCGACAACAAGCCCATGCCCGTTTGTTCTGGTGCAATGAACATTTGCCACTAAACTCTACATAGGTCACTGTGATACCTAGCATGGCTGATCGTCCTGCCTAGTTCAAACCACCTGTCTCCAACGCGTCTTCAACGTCCATCGGCCCGTCTCCTTCATGAGGGAAATGGGGAGACAAAAAAATAAAAAAAGGAGGTAAAACTTCTATCACCAAAAACAAATAGATAGTCATGCACTGTACGGCCGTAATTGGAATCCTCGAGTGTACTGTACGCGGGGTAAATCCTTGATCCGCTGAAATGCAATCAGACATCCCTCCCAATCCGTTTCCTGTCTGCGAACAGCAGGATGCAAGTCGACGCCACTAGGAACTCCAAAGAAAAAGCAAAATTTGATCCCACAACAATCCAACCCCCAGAAATAACAATGACAGAAAATTGCCAGAACTATGACGGTAATGTTAATCTCAGATAGCCACCTCTCCCTTTCACATGCATGGCACAAAGAACATAGATGCATATCACAGACGCTGCGAGAAATCACCAATTATCAACGAGGGGGAAACCGAGCCAGCCAGCCACCATGCAGCTCTCCCCGTATATAACATGCTGTATCACAATCCTAATCGGGAGAATGTGGTCTAGTATCCTGTGGAGAAAGATGCAAGGAACATTCCTTTCCCGCTAACTGTATCGACCCGCAAGGTTCATGTGAAGAATAATAAAAAAGCAAAATCAGGTGTATGGGGCCAAATCTATGCCTCGACCCAGAGGCAACGCAGAATTCTCAGCCTCTGTTGTCGGTATAATTACGGAGCCACGATATCGGCTGGCTCTCCGAAGATCTTCTCATATATCTCGCTGAGGATCTTTGCATCGGCGCGTAGGGTTGGCGATATCTCGCGGCTTTGAAGGAGGAAGCGTATTGTTCGCTTAAGCAAGCGATCAAGGTCATTCCGGTCAACCAACTCTGAAAGGCTCGACATATACGTGGCTGACAATACAAGCATGTTACCGAATTGACTAGCAGAGAAACAGAAAGGTCAGCGACACCACTATCCGAGTTCACGGCCTTTGTTGAACTTCACTTACGCATGAGCTGTGCCGAAGATATTAGTTACTACCGGCCGACCTTTGATGCCATCAAAAGCCTCGGTACTCAATATGGCGGAGTCTATGCACACTTTGCACGCTCTTCGTAGTTTCGGGTTGAGATCGCGATACGCAAGTGCTGGTCGCGATCCTGTCGGAACGGGGGTTGGCGTCGGTGCCGATCGACCCATGGTACCAACATCACTAGACAATCGCGCCATATTGATAGCACGTTGGCTGTGCGCCATGGAGGGCGAGACCTGCTGCGACTTCGCTCCCGACATCGCTGATCCGGTAGGAGAGTCCACTGACGCTGATCGACCATTTTCGGCAGGATGCGAATGATGCAGAGCCCAATAAAGGAGGGGACGATGGATAATGTAGCGTGCGCCGTAGTATTTAGCTCGCATCCGAGCAACATTGATGTCCTCATGTGGAGGGTCCGCGTCCTTCCACCTCATTATGTCGGGTAAGCTGCTTCTCCACAATTCAAGGTTCATGCTCAGGATCTCCTGTACGTTAGCAGACCACCTGTTCTCATTCTGTTCTGTAAAGAGGCGTTAGTACAGCCAAGGGCCCCCGCTTGCCTAGAGTCAACTTACTTTCGACTTTGTATAGATCGGTGTGAACACGGTTCAGAACCTTTCTCAAATGGATCTGGGCGGAGTAAAAGAACATCATCATGGTGTTTGGAGCAGCAGGGTCGTTAGGCAAAGAGAGAGTTCGGCCCTTCGGCAACTCAATCCGTGCTTCCGCGCGAGATATACCACTAGCCGGAAGATCCAGTTCGGCAAGAATGTCACTACGAAACGACTCATTAGTACTCCTGGAGCGCATAGCGAGAGCAACGTGCTTACCTCTCGAGCTGCAGGCAGGTCCAGTACGCAAAGTTGTATAGGTCTTTCAGCGGGCCGTCATTCATTTGCTCATACCGTTTCCTGAGACTGATTAGTTCGGATTCCTTCGTGCAAGCTGCTGGAATTCAGGAGGAAGAGGAGAAAGGAAAACGTACGATCGGACCAGCACTTGGCATGCTCTGGCCGCCTGGTAGATCCATCCATGGCTCTGGAAAGGATGTGCAAGCTGCCCCGCATAGAGTCCTGCTAATAAGGCTGCTTGAACATGATACAGCCCGTTCGCGCCTTGTAGACTCCCCAAAATCTGTGCGGCATACGCATAATATGCCAAGCCAGGAATGACATCCACGTTCCGTAAGTGACTATTATCCGGGTATGGCGACCGATCGGGAGCAGCCTTCTGCCCTCCGGTAACGGGTGAAAAAGAATGGTTACTTGTCTGCGAGAAGAAACTTCCCTGGGACTGCATAACTAATTCTGTATCTGCTGATGATAGCATGCTGCGTGTAGAGGGTCCAGGAATCCGCTCCTTCTGAAAGTCCACGGGCGTGTCAGTAACTGGACCAGGGATGGCTCCTTGAACTTCACAAATACTGCCAAGTGCAAGAACCAAGAGAACAATAGCATTTTCCAGTGACTTCTCCACGCGACGTCCGCTAGAGCCTTCGTGTTTGGCACCAGGGGGAAACTGGACGTCGCATCCAGCGCCGTGTAGCGTATCGCAAGAACGCTTCCTCTTCGCACCGCGTGGTATGTCACCGGCGGTATGGCTGTTCAGGATGTTTACCGGAACAGAAACGTCGGGTAAGCAGTATTTCTGAATGAATGATTCGATGCTTGCGCTCAATTCGGTTAGGTTGATGAATGGATGAAGCTTATGCATGTGATTCAGGTAGCTTTGGTGATAACGACGAACGGTTTTGGCATCTGTGCTGAATATTCCAAAATCATCAATGCTGGGTCCGAGGGGTTTGAGATGAGTGCCATTTTGGATGGCGCCTGGATTCCATTGGCCGCTAGCAGGAGCCCCATTGCTGTAACTTTGATCCCAGTTGGATCGGGACGATGATGATGATGATGAGAATGTCATTGCCGGGCTTTCACTAGTATCGTGTCCCTCACCGCGGCCGTAAACGAGGATCAATCCTCGCTCCTCTTCCAGCTTCATAACATAATCTTCGTCGTACTCTCTTGGTTCAAGAAGAGCCTTGATAGACGGCCACGAAAGCAACTTGTGGGCTGCAGTGGTATGCTCGACAGGAATTGAAAGATCACCGTCTTCGCCCTGCGGAATCACTTCCCCTTCGGCTCTTTCGAGCTCCTGTCCGACAATGGCGTTCATGTCTTCTTCTTTAGTTTCGGTCTTTTGTAAGATATCAGGTATATCCGCCTTCGATATCCGAGGAATTGCCGGCTTCTCTGTCGTCTCCTTGGTACTTATCGCTTTAGCCTCTTTCAACCGAGGATACAGCGCAGTAAGTTGGTTCGAGTGCTCGACCTGGAGTGCATTAATGCGTTCGATCTTTTCGTTGAGACCGTCTTCCAACTGGGAGATACGGTCCAGAAGAAGCTGTGTTGCCTTTTCTTGCCTGGATACGCCGTCAGCACATGTCCATCGAAGTAATAGGAGGCATCAGTATCAGTTGCCGGATCACAGACTTGTGAGGGGGAACTTCTTTATAAACGCATATCAAGTTGTTCTCCTTGCAATGGCTACAAGCAGGCCGGCCTTCATCGCACTTGGCCTTTCTCGTTCGGCACTGATCGCAGGCCTTCAAAGGTAGCAAAATCTCACGCGTTAGCCAGGGTTTCCCGATAACATCTCAGCTAACTTCGCTGCAAGGAGACAATTCACCTGTTGCGCCCGAGCGGCCTTTCGCTGCTGGCGAATCCCGTAGGCCTGGTTTCCGTAAAGACCTGAGTCGTACGGCGTAGGGGTATGCGACAAATGCGGAACCGGAGTGGGATACTGAGTCGGGGGTAAAGTGTGGGCGGGGAGCGGAGCGTCCCCATTGCTGTGAGGCTCCTGAGGTGTAAAAGACATCCGCGAGCGATAGTCGGGGGGTGCTGAATGGGGTGCGGCCTCATGGGGGGTTCCGTTCATAGGACGAAAGCTGGGATGAGGAGTGGGGGCTTCCGGGGGGGTATGCACCGGACCAGGCAAGCTGCCCTGTCGGGCATATGGACCGTCTGGTGGGAGCTGCGGCAGCTCCCGGTTTGGGTTGATCGGGTATCCGTGGGGTGGGAGCGCAGGCTGAGGAGCATTCGATGTGCGACGCTGGTCCGCAGGATGTCCGTCATAAGAAGACGAGTATGGAGGGCGCCATGGCTGCTCGTAGACTGCTGGAGCACTGGGCGGACCATGCGATCCGTCCAGAGGTTGTACGCGATGCATTGGCGACGGAGGGCCAGAACCGGCAAAAAAGACTTTCTGCTTGTCGTTGATCGGGACGATGTCGGCGTTCAAGAGGCCCCGGTTATGGCCACTAATTGCAGGTTGCCGCGGATCCACGGTGGATAGTCGACTCAGTGGGATAGTCATACAGTCAGGAGGACATGATGTCCCAGACAAGCGTCAAAAACTCAGTTGTGCGACCGGAGAGTATTGGGTGGAACGTGCGAACGCAGAAAGTTTCCGATTCGGGGAATGGACAGAATGGTACGAAAGCTAATGTCGGTGCTATCAAGCCGTGGTTCTTTGTTTCAGAGTCCGCAATATTCTGGTTACAGTGCTGGGCGCAACCGACGAAGCATGGAAAGGCTGGCGCGATTCAAGATTCAATGGGCGCGCGAGGAGGGGTAGAAAATCGATCAGCGAGGGAGCCTGACGCAAGCAGCCGGTAGCTTTTTTCAATAGTTAGTTAGCTAAACATGGATCAAGTAGCGGCGGTCGGGACGGACAACGGTCAAACGATCAGCGAAACCAAGACAAACAATAACCAGTTGAGGGGGAGCAAACGAGGGGAGGGAGGGAGGAGGGGGGTGGGAGGGAAAGCGGAGCGGAACAGGAGTGGCAGCGGTTAATAACAAAAGTAGTACTAGTAGGAAGTCATGAATAGTAGTAGCTTGAAAATAGCTGTGATGGGTGGGGAAAGGTGTAAAAAAATGACTGGAGAAAGGCAACGGCGCTGTTTCGTAATAAGAACAATAATAAGATGAGAAAATATAAGTCAAAGGATGATCATCAAACAAAAGCAGATGCAATAGCGTGCGAGGGCTAAAAGATAGTAATAGTAGCAGACAGGAAGTATAACTTGACAGGGGAGCGAAGTGAGTGAGAGTGAGAGGGGGGGGGGGGGAGGGGGAGGACAAGAAGCGATCCGCGCCGCGACTAAAAGGTAATCAATCAATGTCTGCGATGGACACACCGACCCTGGCTGGCCGGCAGTTGGGCAAACTACTAGTAGTAGTATCACCACAGTCAACCGTCAACCCAGTAGGTACCCTACTACTGAAGGAGCGGTCATTCAGCAGGTAGGTACCGTCCTAACCACTCCTAGTAAGTAGTAGTCAAATACCACAAGTGATTTCCAGGAAACCCGAGATGACCTCGCCACGCAAGTCAACGGAGTCATCGGGGGTGACAGCCAGGAATCAAATCATACCGATACCAAAAATAACAAGAATTCGAAAAACGAGCCCGGGGTATATGACAGAGGGGGAAAAAAGGAAAATAACAGAAAAGAAATGTAAATGAAATTGAAAATAGGCAGTGTAAGATAATAAAAAGCAAATAAGTCAAAGCGAAAGAAAAGGATCGAGAGCAGAGGGGAGGAGGTAAGAAAAAAAGAAAAAAGAGTGGTATGTGTACGTACTTAGACACAAGTGTCTCGCGTCGCCCCAAAGATAAATGGAACAATTAACTAGTCGGTACTTAGTAGCAAGACGAAGTAGTGGTGATAATAATGATAATAATACCGCCGGGCGGGTTTTAGCACTGGTTCTGGCGCTTTCCGATTAAGTGGAAGGAAGCAAGTAGTAGTAGTAGTATAGGTCGGGTGCGGTGATGGGGGAGTAGATAGTAGTAGGTAGTATTTCTTAGCTAAGGTAGCTAAGCCAAGCTGTCGGGTCGCCCGGTGCAAAAACAGGTCGATCGAACGGTGGGAAGCGTCGTAGTAGAGCTTTGTTGGCGGGTGTCTTTTTTCCTTAATAAGAAGAAAAAAAGAAAAGACAGAAAAAAAAAAGAATAATAAAAAAAGGGTCGAGGGATTCGGAGGGGTTCCCTAAAAGACGGCCGGACGTCTGGAAGGAAAGTCGATGGATCCTCGAACGGGATTAAACTAGAAATAGCAGGTTGACCAAACCAGACTTCCCGTCCGGTCACTCTTGGAGGAGCGAAAAGTTAACTTGATCAGAGTGAGTCCGGAGGGCACTACTACCGGGAGTAGTAAGTGGTAGGTCGGCAGGAGTGGATTGATGGATGGATCTGATGGGTAAAAGGCGGAATCGAGTCTTGCGGGAACACCAAAATGATGAGAAGGTTAGTTAGGGGGTTATGAGCAAGAAAGAGGAGGAGAGATGGGAGGATGAAATAACTAATAGTCAATGGAAATGCAAATGACAAGGAAAATGAACTATCAAGCAAACGGCCAACCTAGCAGAGGCTGATAGGCCTTGAAGAGTGTGGCAGATGAAGAGGTCTGCTTGCCCCTCTCTTTTTCCCTTCTTTCCTGGTGGAGGGAGGGGGGTTTATTGGGCCCATAGAACAGCCGGTGCGCGCAAAGTAATAGCAGTAGCTAGGGAATATGGGCGATTTGCTGCTCTGCAATTCCTTACAGATGATGGGAATGATGATGCTGATGATAGTTGAAAATGCGCACCTCACAATCTCAGATGTCTCCAGTGAACCGTCCAGATGAAGAACTGCTTTTCGATCCGCGTTTTCGTTGCTTTGATTTCTTCCTCTCGTCTGATGTTTCGCTTTTGCTTTCCTCTGGGTTTCCTTTATTTTCTTTTTATTTATTTTTTCTTTTTGGTGCACGCCTTCTGAGGGGACTGGGTCTTGTAACCCTGAACCAGGATCCTGGTTTGCATGAATTAACACAAGCCACCTGAATTGACAGATCGCCTTTCTAATTCGTCTGGGCAGTCCTGCTTTTTTCTTTTTCCTTCTTTTTCTTTTTTACTCCTCCTTAAAAGAGTTAAAAAGAAAATAAGGGAAGCGAAAATCAAAAGGACAAGCAAAAGACAAAAAGGGAAAAGAGTAGAAAGAATTTCCCTTCATTTTTTTCTTTTCTTTTTTATTTTTAATTTGATTTTCTTTTTCTTTTTCTTCTCCTCTTTGCTTTCTTCAATATCTCAGTTTCGGCCTCTGACTGCTGGTGACAGACCAGAAAACAAAAAGGGCAGAAAGTGGAGCCGCAAACTGGAGCTGAACCAGGACGGGCTAAAATGAGATTCGCAAAATAAAGAAGAAATGAGAACCCACTTACAACCAGCTGTGGTGCAGTCTTGGAAGACTGAAGGAACTGACTGGGTACCGTCGGTTTTTCGATCTGTTGGGGGCCCGCAATCAGCTCCGGTCTTCCTCAGTGCCACATGGATGGGTGGACTGGAGAATAATTAAGGAAAGGCGCTCAAACACACACACACACACACCCAACGTCAACCGCTCTCCGTTGGCGGTGGATTACAAGTAGTAGTAGTAGTAGATAGTAGTAGTAGTAGTAGTATTCAATGGTGTACGGGTCCGATTGGGAACGGTTTTTCCTCGGGGGAAGGCTTAAAGATGGGTGAGCTGATTGTGAAATGATCGGTGCCCAATACTTCGAGGGGTAGCGACTCCCGTGGCCAAAGGGGAGGAGGTCAGTCAATCTGAGTGGTGATGATGGTGTAAATTGAGGGGAAACCGATTATATGTTTCCGCCTGAGGGGAAGGAAGAGCCTGAGAGGCGACAGTAAATACGTTAGGTCGTCCTCTTGTCCTATCACACAGCCGGTGAGTCGATGGGACACTCCTGGCGACTCAGAGGACTCCGGCAAGACAAAACTGAAACCAAGAGTGAAATCGACAATCAGACAAACCAGCCACAGCAGATGGGGAAAGAATTCAGTTATCCCTCCCAAGGGCTGATTAGATGGATGACTTAACCAGGCGGTAGCACGGAAGTTTACTTGTGTACACACTCGAGACATGCTTGCTGTCAACACACACTCTCACTCACAGCCTCTCGGCTTCATTCTTTCGGTCTGTTGGTGCCCATCCATTTCTTACTCCTGTGATTCGGCTTAATTCACCTGATTATTGGCAGGGGGGTGTCCATTCCCCTATCTTCACCCACGGGACGGACTCAGATCTAGAAGTCAATTTGTCCCTGCAACGGTGTCCGACAGGAGTGCCCTGGACGGTATGCTACGACGATGAAAAGCCAAGCATTATTGTTTATCTGGATGATGGCGGATGAAAATGGTCAAAAAGGGCAGAAGCGCACAGGACAAATAGGCCCTGACTCGGAGTATGAAGCCAAACGGGAATGAGGTATGCATGATGCGACCCAGGAGGGAGGGGGAAAGGGAGACCTGAACGACTACTACTACTACTACGACGGTGCCCCACGCAGGAGCAGAAGACGGTGAGCACCCTCCACCTTGCTCGGGTGTCACTTGGTCATTGGAATCAAGGGTTTGACTTGCTACGCCAATGCTGTGCGCTCAGATATGCGCAAGACGAACTCAATAGAGTTCTGCATGGATTAAGGAGCTGATGGGCGCTTCTAAAAGGCGGAGAAGGAATATATCGGGACACGCTGGTCCTAGAAATTCCCGAGGCGAGGGGAGCATTCAACAGGCTCCAAGGCAGACCTCGTTCTTCTTTTGATTATAAAGTAACCTACTTAGAGCTGAATGCAATTCTACACACTCTCAAACAGCCGTGTAGATGAATCACCTATTAGCCACTTCTGGGCTCCATACCTGTCATGATCATAGCTAGACCAGTGCCATGTCTCTCTCTCCCCTCTGAAGGGCGAGCCACCGTTCGAGTTTCTACCCGGCCCGCCCGCTAAAAACCGGAGCAGCTGGACGATTAGATCATCATCCAGGGAGGCCCCTGTCACCAACTTGCATACATGGTTGCGCACATACATGATACATACATTTGCTGGTTGCTGCTACGGGGTAGGACGGAGTACGGAGTACAGGTAGAATACCCATACCTACCCTTACTACGTGTTATCATCTTGGTTGTTTACCTTTTCTTTCCCACCCCACAGCCAAAAAAGCAGAACGGCAATTGTTCCCTGGGTCTTCATCTGCGACTAATCATGGTTCACCTCAGGGACAGCCGCTGACTTATCCGCGGTGGTCCGAAGAACGGTAACTTACGGAAGAGAACCTTGGGTTTCCCTCCTTTTTACTTTTAGTTGTTTGGCTTTTCTGGTCGCAGCTTGTCATTCGGATCACATTCGGCCAAAACAAACCTTTTTCTGCCAAACGCCTAACAACCTTCTTTCCCATGCCAATCTTCAATAAACCCCATCATTAGCGCGTATTTAAAACATGAATGCTCGCAACCTAACACAAAGAACTGACCTAGCTAGTCTGTTATACTACTAAAATAGTCTACCGTCTAAAGGGAGTGCGCAGATATGTATAAGGGGTAGATCTCATGACGCAGCATCGGAGTGAGTACCCAGTTTGCCACCTTTCGGTCGCGCGTCGTATAGTTACCTATCTCGTATTGTGACACGGTGACTAGTAAACTCACCAGCTTGAGCCTCTGATTCTGAAAGCATTGACTAGTACATTCCCGCGCGAACCAGCAAAAAATCAATAAGAACACGAAGAAAGGAAACGAAAATAAAAGGAAAGGTCAAAGAGCACTGTGAATTGATTAGGCTAAATGTGGCTACAGTCTTGCTTACTGCTGCCACACTGCAAGACTGTAAGACAACCGAGTGACTGGGCTCGCAAGCACAGCAGCCCGATCACCTTCACCTTCAATGAGTGGGGTAATATCAACACACCGTCGTGGCCTTAAACCGTCCCTAATATTTCGGCTGGAATAATCTCGGTCTCGGGAAAATGGAGGGGCATGATCCTGATGGATCTCTCGACTTTCCAACTAACCGCAACTCCGGCACATTATTATTCTACTCTTCTACTCAAACTTGTTTACCGCAGAAGACCATGTCCTCCGCGTCTTTGTTCACATCAAAGCATAAACAAAAACCTACTAACTGACGCGATGACCCAACAGCACCCAACCATAACAAAAACCACCTCCAGATTTACACCCGATGTTCACCGTCTCGCACTCAGATACGGAATCTTCCGTACCTTACAAAGTTCAAAATCGGAGTCAAGCCATGCCTTATTCATTACCGCCAATTGCCTGCCCCTCCACAGGTGACCCATTTCTGGCTTCGGAGAGCCAACGAATTCAACAACTTGTCCCCCCATTCGGTCGATCCGCCTTTTTAGTGACGTTCCATGATCCCGTCTCCTGGAACCCACCATCGGCTGGCGGCATGTTGGGTCTGTCTTTGAGACTTCAGCAGTTCTTAACACAAGAGGCAAAAATTTAAAATTAAGAGAAAATTAGAAAAAAAAAAAAAAAATAAGGGCGATGGCGCCAGGCTCCATCCATCCTACAGTAACTCTAACCATACTTAACAAACCCGCCAATTCACTACCGACTCATCGTATGCATGGACTACTGTAAGAATGGAATCGCACGATTTCTTTCCGTTCAGGTTTTCCCTAATGAATGGAGATCCTGCAAGGCTGGGTCGACTGGCAAAGTTAGTAGCAAATGATGTGCATACTGTGCGCCGGTACTACACCTATGCGGCAAGTAGGGCCGGACAGGAGGAGAGGAGAAGGAGGAGGCCTATTCTCTGACTCTTTCACTCTCTCAAACTAGTATTGGAATGATCAGGTGCCGGAAGCAAGGGATAGCCCTGTCCTTTACGTACAGATAGCTCGACGTTTAGTACTGGGGTTACACGGGTAGAGACACACTGTGGCTATTGGGAAATGGCCATCGAATTGGGGAGCAGAGGGGGCGAATACACCACAGGTGGAAGAAAAGAAAGATCCTAGTGCTAGTAGTAGTGCCCATGGCTGATGCTGCTGTTGTGCTAACCTGATATGAATCCCCGGGATTTGTTCTGCGAACAATCTACTAGTACTAGTATCAAACAGGTAAGTAGATAGGTAAGTAGTAAGCGCCATCTCAAGATTGGAATTTGCCAGACTTATTTTACAAAGTATTCATTCGTCTGACTTGGGATCCATCTAATCGAACAAAAATAAATTAATAAAAAATAATCTGGAGCCTACGTACCCAGCAGCAAGCAACACAAGGAGAGTCCGATCCCCAACACAAACGCAACCTCGTCTGTAACCCGCGGGATTTCCTTGACAGCAGAAAACTCCGGCGGCGCAAGCACCATATACAGTACAGTAAACTTAACTGCCGAAACTCCGTGTCTACCTACTACTTACCACCTAACTTATGCAAACACATGCCAGGACGGGGTTCTCCGTACCGTCCGCGGTGGTCGGCAGGCAGGCAAGTTGGCGTTGGCGCTGGCTGAAGATTCTGCCTAGTTAGCTAGCTAGCTAGTAAGTATGTAGCTACCTAGCTACCTACCTACCCTTAACCCACTCAGACTTTGAGGATTGTGTGTGTGTCTGTGTGTGCGTGTGTGTGGAAAAGGCGACCAGCAAATAGAAAGATGGAATGGGATGCGGTCATCACGAGGTCCGGGCGCCATTCTTTAGACCGATTACAGGTAAATCTTCGCCGGACCCAAAATTGCAGATCAATTCCATGTCTCAGGCCTATCATTTGTCCCAGCAAGGACCATCAAGCTCCCCCTACCCCTCACTAGACCGGCTAGGCAAGTATTCTGACTCCTGACTCTTTTCTCGCAAGGTCATGAGATGTGCCAAACCAAATGCCTTATGGGGAGGGGGGGAAGAGAAGGGAGTTTGGGCCGGCCGGCTTGGTCAGACCGTCCGATAACTACTACCTATGTGAACTTATCGCCCGTATACGGGAGAACCAATCGATGGGGAGTTTAACCCCTCAGTTGCCCAGGACATACATATACATACACATACACATACACACCCACCAATTCTCTTTCTGAGAAAAGAAAAGGTGACAGCGGGACTGCCCGCCTTGTGACTCCGAGAGGGTGGTTCGGAGCGGATCATAATTCTACTGGGCGGTAGGATCGCTAGAGAAAGAATAATGAAAAAAAGTGAGGCTGGGATTCCTTGGCGTAATATTGGTTGTTAAAGTTATCCATTTGAAAGAGTGGCCACCGTGGAGGAGGTGGAGGAGGAGGAGGAGGAGATGGTGGTAATGGTGGTAGTGGAGTATGTCGCAACCGCGCGATATCAATTTGATCAACATGCTTCGATCATCGAATATGGATTTACAAATGACATCTTGGAAGGCAGCCAAGCCATATCTCAAGGACTCCATGAAGAAAAACCAAATCAGCGTCTTTTAGTCTGTCGAGCTGGGGAATGGCTCACGGAGATGACTACTGGATGTGGCAGTGCTCTTCCTTTGGAGGGCATTATAGTGGATATGGATGTTATGCCGATCCAAGGGAGAATTATTTGAGATTGTCTAGTCTAAGGGAAGCTAAAGCCTCGTTATTGCGCTGATCCATTCGTCTACGGCGTGTCGCAATGAGGCTGCTTATCGTATCAATCTCATCGCAGGACTCAAGAGAGGAAGGATACTACTGCTTGGGAATTGTAGCTTGGTGTGGGTGATTGGTGGTTTGGAGCTGGAAATCTGGATAAAAGTATTGCCAGTATTCTTTGTTGTCGACATACATACTAGTTACTACATAACAGATATATGCCTTTTCCTCTCAGCCAGCTTCCCAGCAGTATATTATCCCAGTTCCTACCAAGAAAGAACAGCTAACGTAAACTGTACACAATGGACCACGTGGGCCTCGCCTCCTGGGAAGCTTCCCTCCCTATCGGTAGCAAACTAGTAA